TAATCACTCGCTTTTGCCCCATGCTTTAGCTTGAATCCTTCGCATCTCAAAGGAAAACGAACGAGTTGCTGTAACATCGGCTGAATCAAAGACGTACAAGAGTCGAATTTCTGAGCCATTCGTAGTGATTCTTTACCAAATGTCACTAATTTTCCATAACAAAGCGTTATTTTGGGAGACAGCGGCAAATTTAAATAAGAAAGATAATATGTGTAAACAATTAATTTCTACATTGTTTGATCAGTCGACACAATCTGAACAGGAAAAATCATCCAGTTGTGTATCAGAGGCTCCCTCTCTTAGGCAATATGTACTTGTTCATCAAAGTCTTCTTGTGGCACTTAAAGCTTAATATCCATCAGAAGATTGCTCAGTTTTGGACGGTGACACTCCAAGAGAAGCAATAATGTTCAACACTGTTGCTTTGTTCTTGTGTTTGCTGACTTCTTCTTTCTTCAATCGAAGTGAAGGACACAAAACTGTTTCGTCTTCTTCTAAGGTAAAGATTGCGAAATACCAATCCGCTTATATGCTACTATAATTTATATCTAAAGTATAGCTTAAGTCACTCGACCTTCCTTAAAAATTTGAGGTTTTTTTTGCTGATTGGAAGAAGTAAACATCATTAAGTAAGGTATGATCTCAGTTAAATTGGAACCTCGTTCCCGAATCAATCGTATGGGAGGATTCGATTAATTTTCTGTCGATTGTCAGTTAAATAAGCTGTATATCATTCTTTTTTCGTGATCTATACACTACATTTCGAATTTGTCAGGCGCTCTTTCTCTGAGATGTCGCTCATCAAAAACAAATGAGATCAAATTTAACCTTAAAAATCTGACTTTTGAAATTCTAAGTAATATAGAAGGGTCCATGTCGTCTTGGCCTATCTTAAAGTGTTTCCATGGGGTTTTAGCCAGCGATTATGAAGCGCGCGCCAGCGTTATATTAGGTTTTTATGGATACCTTTTTTATGTTTTCTGCCTTCCAGATTATTAAAAGTTACCAAAATGTAATAATCAAGGGTCGGACTGTTGTTTTCTGTAATTCATATTCATCGTAATATACAAGTTTTCGATCTTGAGCTGAAGTGCGCCAAATGTAGACGCTCACTCGCGGTTATTTGACTTATTTGGCTTTGATTTTAATTTTCTCCAATTTGCTTTGATGAAATCTCGTAAAATCATAATGTATAAAATTTGTCCTAGAGGTCGAAAAAAACTAGTGATTTCGAGGGAACTTTCTTCGCTTTTTGAATGAGCAGCAATGTTCATTTCATTCGACATTATTTCGGACCGACGAAGTCATCGATTTTAATTTTCTTGTTTAAGGAAAGTCATAGAATGTTTTTGTCTAAAAGATAAATTTATCTTTAATGTCTTTGTCCGTGACTCAACAATATCTTGAGTACATAATCCCAACCAAAGGACATTAGAAAAAAAAGTAGTCGAGTTAATCATTACGAATACTGAATGGCTGAATCAAAATTTTCAATTCCAAGAAGAGTCTAATGACCTATCCTATTTAATGTCACAGAATCCCAGCACGTGTCTGCAAGGACCTCCTGGTCTCCCTGGTCACAATGGATATAATGGGGCACCAGGCCTAAACGGTCGAGATGGTGCTAAAGGAGAGAAGGGCGTGGCAGGTAAGCCTGGGCCACGTGGAGCTAAAGGAGACGTTGGACCAAAAGGGTCTGATACCGACCACAGAAGTTGGAAACAGTGCGTTTGGAGGGCTTCGGACAGTCGGGACGTGGGACTAATTAAGGTATGCAAGATTGGTGGAGGGTTGAAATAAAGTGTTTGTCAAACTAGGAGGGTTTTAGCGTGAAAAATCATGAATCTTTTCTTTTGATCAATTTACTGTTAATCTATTTTGCCTCTGTTTTTTTAGGACTGCATCTTCGACAAGACGAGAGATGGTACCGCTCTACGAGTGGTTTATCAAGGTAATATATACGTGCGTTGTGACACCTGTTGTAAGCGCTGGTTCGTCACCTTTAATGGAGCAGAATGCAGTGGTCCGCTGCCCATTGACGTGGTTCTCTGGATCAGAAACAAGGATGAAGATAACCACAGACCTGGAGCAATAGAAGGGTACTGTGAAAACATCCACAAGGGAAGAATCCGTGTTGCTATCAACATTGGAAACTGTCCTGGATATAGAGACTCAGACGGATATACAGGCTGGAATTCAGTGTCACGATTGATTATCGAAGAAGTCCCCAAACCTCAGTGACTTTTGAGTCCTGTTTGTTCGCTTGAATGCGTATCTTTATGTGGAAATGGCTCTATCATTAAAAACAAATAAGCAAAAGCAGTAATATGTAAGGGATTTCTGCCTTTCTTATACAATTTTTCAACTTGCAGACTTGTAACACGGTTCAATGATTTTATTTCGTAGGACTTTGACTATTAAACTTGAAAATCATTGCTAGACATGCTACATTTTATGCTGAACTAATTCATTGCCTTTTAAAAAGAAGATCCTAAGCGGATCAGCAAAAGTTTTCTAACTTACTTGGACCAAGCGCATGTACTTCGAAACTTTTTCTAAAATGTCTCGAATTTAATTCGAAATTTCCAATTGTAAGGCCATTACGGAATTGCTCACCCTTTTATTTTGCTCTGTTTATAAATATATAATTGAAAAATAATTGAAAATTTGTCACATTGTGGCGCGATCAGTAACCTCTGCTTGTAACTCTCACAAAGTTATGAAGTGCGCGCGGGATTCAGTAATGCAACAAACTTCACTTAGACGCTAACTTGTCATTAAATCAAAGTCGATGTGTTTGTTGGTACATTTCCATTCTGTTCCAGGCGATGATGATTGGCGCGTTAGTTACAGATGGATAAAACGAGAGAGGCTTGGATCCGTACGTAACCCAACCCAAACTCCCTTTTGTCCCTCGGTTGCTAACGCGCCGTTTACCATATGGCCTGTAACAGGCTAGTAAGCTTGAAATTTGAACTTGAGCGAGAGAGAAATTCCCAAATTGTGACAGTGTCAGCGAACATCTTATGCAAGTGTTACTGACCAGCGCAATAACAGGGTATAAATTACCTTTAATTGCGAAACGTTCACACGTCACTTCAAGTTTCGTCATAAAGTAATGTGCGTCAATTGACCTGACAGATTATTGTTTCCCATAAATTGTGAGACCACATTTTTAAACTTTCGTGCCACTACCCTGCTTCTTATTAGTTAGTTTTAACATTGTACCTTGGGGATCATTATCTGAGATATTTTCTGCCGGAAACACACGGAACGAAACGAAAGGAAAAAAAAATGAAGTTAATGGACTTGAAAGCACCTAAATTCCAAATTGGCCCTCGCGACGATCGTTCTCTCTACAGACTGTCAAGATAGACAACTTCAGAGTTGCGGCCAGAGTTTCTGTGAATATCTAATCAGCGAAAGGAAAGAACTCCTGACTGTTTGATTGCAATTTCTGTCTTGTAGTTATGTTGATCTATGATTTGGTCACCACGCCTCCTTGACAAAAAAAAGAAGCCGAACGCTGCATACTTTTCACCCCCGCCGTGTTTTTTTGTCTATGTTAGATTTATCGCATCACTAAAACATTCAAACAATCCAACATATTTTTTTCAACAATCTTCTCGGAACGACTTCTAACCTATAATTTTCATCACTTTCTGTCTAGAATCTGAGACTACTATTGTTCAACGAAACATTAAGTCTACAAAGTGGAACATAACTTCTTTGTGAATCAGAACCGACGCATGTAAATTCGTTTCTGTTCCATCGATAGGCCATGGAATGCAAAAGCTCTTCTTTGAAATTACATCATTTTGGATAAATCTCTCTTGACCAATGCCCTTTTCTAACGTATCCGGATATTCCGAAGATTTTGTTCAAAACTGACGTTCCTGGCCTTATTCCAAAGAGCTGACGCTTAAACCCACGAATTTCTGAATGCAATTTATTTACAAATCAGTTCATAAAGAACCGAACCATGAAAATACAATAAATATTTCAAATAAATGAGTCCTGGGATGATATTGTGTTAAGTTGCGTGTTTATAGAAACTGATATATTGTTTCACCCAGTCTTTTGTGAAATGGACTAAGCCTATTTCATTGTAGTTGACATAAAACAACCTTAGCAATGATTTTTAATATTTCGGTCGCATTCCTCTCCTGCTCTCTAAAAGCTATTGTTTCTAGTATAAACACTGAATACCGACACTTGACCATCACGTTTGGGCGGTCAAGGGTGGTGACTTCAATATCGATCCGCCCGTGCGCATGAAACTGAGAGAAGAGGCACTTGTCTTGCACGCGACTTAACGCGTGAGCCCAAACGTGCATTGTGAAAAAAGCCATCTTTGTCCTTTTGACCATCTGTTTTATTAACTCGAGATAAATTTTTATTTCTCTGAGAAGGTTTTTTCATCGCCTCAAAATAAATCTTTGCGCGTATGTTACATTCTTTTCTCCGGAGGAAGTGGGTTATTTTACGTAATTTGTTTTTCCACTCAATGCGCATCTCCGCAGAACCAAAGCACGTACGCGTAAAGTTTTCGCAGAATCCAAACTTCGTAAGAGGAAAAATATGCCATTAACGTAAACTCTGGCGGTTGAAAACTAAAAAAAAACTAAAAGTTGGCGTAAATATGATCTCTACCGCTAAATGCAAATGAAAAAAGAGGGCTGTCTATCGCACTTTGTGATTCATACAAGGAACCCAACAAACCGATCAATATATTGCAACTTCAATTTCAGTGGCTTACCTCCTCGATGTCCGACTGGCTCCGTATAATTAAGCATTGGGACGCAGATGTCTGCTATTGTGAGCTTTGACATCGATATAAAATCAATATTGAACAATGAACTCTCTCACTTTCAAAACCCTCGATTTTGACCGCATCACATTAACGCCGTTATTTCTGTCTCTTTAGCAAAAGCCGCCGAAACGGTGGAGGAAAATAGGAAGGAACTTCTTTCAGGAAGTCTTTTAAATCAAATATTATACAACAAGGATACTCGAGGTTGGAGGCTCCTAAATCAATTGGTAAATTGACAAAATATGGACGAAGGTTTTTAAATTTACGAGCTGACCATGATAAGTGCAGGAAAATATCATGATTTTGAATTTGGTATTTATCGACGAAGAAGCTAGTATTGTTAATTAGGCACATAATATTAAACATTCTCAAATTATTTCATTCGTTTAAGTGATATTCATGAATTTAAATGGAGGGCTCCAAAAACGGCTAAGAAACGCTCGTTTGGCAAGAGTTTGGTCGAAGCACTTTTCTCTGTGTCCATCCCGGCCACTATTAATCTATTTATTTATTAATTTATCGACTTATTTAAGATTTATTTATATTTGTATTTTCTTAACTGTTTGTTTACTTTCTGGAGTGCTTATTTGCGCTTGATTCACACTCTAATGTATCTGTTAGCCTTACCTAGAAATTAAACGATATTGTCTTGAGCCCGAAATGTTTATCGACTGAAAATCTCCATGTCTTTCCCGGTCAGATTAAAGCACCTTTCCATTTCATAAAATCTCTCTAGGAGAATTGACCATTACGACTTTCGTCCCATGGCAGGGGTAAGCATTTTTTCAACGGGAATGCATTTAATTTCCTTTCCAGTGGGACGTGGAAGCGTGGGATGAGAATGTGTCGGCTGTAGTAATTAATTTTCTAACAAAAGTTATTGCATGATAAATCTTTGCTCAAGTCTCTCTTAATTTTTCTTCAATAGACTAACAGAAAAACAGACAAATCCTCTAATTGGATTTATAAGAATTAAAGAAGTAGAAGTAATAAGAAGCGGAAATAAATTATTATTCTTTTAAGGATGTGATATAAGTTTTCAGCTTCCTCTAATGGCCGGATGACCGTAGGTCGAAACCGTACATCGTATCCAGCAAAGTTGAAAGACAAATATTTATTTCACAAAGATAGGAGACCAAGTAATGGCCTCCTGACAGAGAATAATTGACGTAAATCATTCTCTGCTCAGTTAACAAACAGCTCTAACACTATTAGATCTCTATAGGATGAAAATTCCAGTAACATTATCCCGAACGATGTTCTTTTTTCAACACGTCGATTTGCTGTCATAACTTTTAAGTTGATAAATAATAACATACTTACAAATGTTTTTATTGAATTTTGGTGCTTTCTGCATTACAGATTGTCCTAAAATCCATGCGGAGGTTTCATTGAAACATTCTGAATATCGGATAGCACCGGAAAATCAGTTGTGAAGAAAATCGCAAAGTGACTCCCACTGCCTCGTTTGAGCTCTATTGAGATTCTAAATCCGTGAATTTTTGTCGATGCTAACAATACCAACGTTGTGTATTTGCTTTTTGGTTTTTTTTTTGGCAAACCTCAAATTATATTCAAGGCTGTCGCGTCTATTCATCGATCACACAAAATTTTTAGAAAGATTTTATTAGGTAGTATAAAGGTTGAATTGTTATATTATATTTCGACGGACCCCCAGTGTTTGAATGAGTGATTACCTAGTGATTGTATAGAGTTGTAAACGGTGAGACAGTTTCCCTGTTCTAATGAGTGAGCCTTTGTCCTCAAAATTTGGACCTACCAAACTTTGGACTAAGGAATGACAAAAGATTGGACACAAAACAAAGCAAACAAAGATAACAAACAGGCCGGTGATTAGTTGTGGTGTGAACACGTGTTAAAAAGATAAACAGCAATGACTTCATAACCAGACGTGAATGGTGGGCGTTGTGACAAGATTTGCCGAATGGTATCTCAAAGAAGTCGTCACCCTATGATGGCGCCTATCTCTCTGATTTCATGCTGACAAATAAAAGTGATGTTGACAGGTTAAAAACAAAGACAGATCTATTGTGTGAGCTCCAAAGGATAACAGCTCCTCTCTTTTGCATAAAGTCCCTCTGAAATTACAATTACTGATGCGTGATTGAAACAAAGTTTCGGTTAGGTTTAAGATAATCCACTGTCTCAACTTGAAAAACAACAACAACAACAACAACAGGTTAAGTTATACTGTTCTTAGCACAAAAATACCAAAAATAATAAATTTTTCTTGAACATAAAATAACGCTCGATTGAAAGAAATGGTTCTGAATCGTCCACATCGCCCGATTGTTCCTGATGTTTATTTGCGTGAATGAACCGGACACAATATTGACAACATATTAGGAACCATAGAAAAATTTCGTAATTTTTTTGTAAGTTTTGTTTCTGGCTAAATCATGCTATGACCATAGAAAATCAGAAGAGATATTAACAACCATGTTT